ATTCTTTGTAGATCCCAAAGAAATCCTACGAAGCCATGCAAAAACTTCCTCAAGTGTAGGAAGAGTAGAGCCTCCCAATATTTGGGCCCTAACTGATTCATATTCTGATTGAAACCCCACTAAGAACCTAGTGACATCTAGTTGTTCCCTCTGTTGTTGTTGAACCTTAACATCTAGAGTGAGGGGATGATAGACATTGAGTTCATTTTTGAGGTTCTTCATACTGGCATAATACTCTTCTAGGGTTTTATTCCCTTGCTGCAGATTGAAATACTCCTAATAGAGCTRATATACCCTTGTAGTATTATCCTACCCAGAATAAAGCTTCTTGGCATGTTCCCTTGTGTCCTTAGTTGTATCTAAGAACATAAAGTTGGTACTTATTTTGGGTTCCATACTATTCCATAACCATGTCATGATTTGAGCATCTTCCTGTTCCCAGTCATCAAACCCTGGAGAGTCAGTTGATGGTTTATCTTCCTTCACATGTTTCACTTTCCTCTTTGCCTTGAGGAAAACTTCCACTGACTTGGCCCATGGCACATAATTCTCACCATTAAGTTTAATGGAGGTCTTCTGCACACCCAAATAATCGGAGGGGATCACCACACTCGGTTTCTGATCACTAAAATCATCTCCCGTTGCTGCCATTATGTCTCCCCCACTGTTATCTCTAATGCTGAACTCTTAGTCACCAACCAAATACTACAACAGCCAAGGCAACATTACAGCAATCTCTAAACTCAGGTGATAGGTTCACAACAAGTCACAATCAGTCATCACTGTGCACAAACTATCATTTAGATTAAAAACAAAAGGTAAACCAACATTCAGACAACACCAACAAGGCAGAAAATTGATGTAGGCAATTCGGCCATTCCTTCCGGCCCCCCCCCCACAAAAAAAAACAACTTTTGTTCTTGCTCACACCACTACTGATTACACAGAGCCATAAATCACCACTATAGTAATTCAGCAACTTACTAACCACACACAAGCCCTCTTGAGGCTGCTCAATAAAGGGTGAGCATCAAAAGCATCATCACACAACCATCTCTGTCCCACATGGTACAGGTCTGTCTGACCCTTTTTTTTTAGAGGTCACTACCAGTCCAAAGACATCAACTACAACACTACAGTAACCCTTACACCATTCGGTCACTGTAAACACAGCCTGTTCTTGGGCCTTTTGCCAAGAACCAAGGCTACAAATAACCTAGTTCTTTAAGTTCTGATCAGT